TATTTTCTTTATTCTGTTCCACAGCAGGGATTTCCAACATTCTGTCTTCCAGCTCACTTGTCTGTTCTTCTGCCTCATTTATTCTGCTATTGATTCTTTCTAGTGTGTTTTTCATTTTTGTTTTCTTCAACTCTGTTTGGTTGTTCTTTATATTTTCTAACTCTTTGTTAAAAAGTTATTGTAAGTTCTTGCTTGAGCATCCATTCTTTTCCTGAGTTCTTGGATCATCTTTACTATCATTACTCTGAACTCTTTCTTGGGTAGTTTGCCTATCTCTACTTCACTTAGTTGTTCTTCTGGGGTTTTATCTTTTTCCTTTGTCTGGAACATATTCCTCTGTCTTCTCATCTTGTCTAAAATTCTATTTGTATTTTTATGTATATAGAAGGTTAGTTATGTTTCTCAACCTTGGAGAAGTGGCCATCTGTAGGGGATTTCCTGTGTGTCCCAGTAGTACAGTCCCCTCTCATCACCGAGGGCCAGGGACCAGCTGGTCCCAGCGTAGATTCTGAACTGTGTTTGTAGACTCAGTTCCACTGGCTGCTGGGCTGTAGTTTCTTGCTTCTGGTGTCTGCTTTCAGAAGAAGCGAGGCTTCTTCGCTGGGTGAGGCTGGTCTAAAGGCTTATGCAGGCTTCCTGGTGGGTGGAGCCAGTGCCTACCCACTGGTGGGTGGAGCTGGGTCTTGGCTTTCTGATGGGCAGGGCTGTATCAAGGGGTGTGTCTAGAGGCAGCTGTGTGCTCAGGAACCCTTTAGGCAGCCTGTCTGCTGATGGGTGAAGCTGTGTTCCCACCCTGTTGGTTGTTTGGCCTGAGACATCCCAGCACTGGAGCCTACAGGCTGTTGGGTGGGACCAGGTCTTGATGCCAAAATGTTGGCTCTAGGAGAGCTCACACTAATGAATGTCCCCTGGTAACACTGTCACCAGTGTTGTTGTCCCCAGAGTGAGCCACAGCCACCCTTCTGCGTCCCCAGAATACCCTTCAAGACCAGCAGGTGGGTCTCCCCAGGGTCCTATGAAGTCATTGCTTTTACCCTTGCTACCAGTGCACACAGGATGTTGTGTGCACCCTCTAAGAGTGGAGTCTCTGTTTCTGAGTCTCCAAAGTCTCTGCAGGAGTCCTATGGAGCTCCTGCAATCAAGCCTTTCTGGCCTTCAAAGCCAAATGGTCTGAGGGATCCTCCTCCAATGCCAGACCCCCAGGCTGCAGAGCCTGATGTGGGGCTCAGAACTCTCACTCCTATGGGAGAACTTCTGCGATATAATTGTTCTCCAGTTTGTGGGCCACGCACCTGGGGGGATATGGAATTTGATTATATCAGGAGTGTACCCCTTCTACTGTCTTATTATGGTTCTTCTTATGTCTTTGGATGTAAAATATCTTTTCTAGTAGGTTCCACTCTTCTTAATCGATGGTTGTTCAGCAGTTAGTTGTGATTTTGGTTTGCTCGTGAGAAGAAGTAAGCTGAAGGCCCTTCTACTCTGCCATCTTGGACAGGAATTGAAAAATTCTGCAGTTTTGCATGAGACATACTGTTGGTTATGCAGTTAAGCACTGGAGTCAGACTGCTGGGGTTCAGATTCAGCTTCTTTCCTTTAACCTCTATGTGATTGACAGCTAATGTCTCTATCTTCATGGAATTTATACGTCTTCTTTCACCCTTAGTCTAGCTTCAGGGACCTTGTGCAGAGGACTTGCACCTAATGAGTTGGATTAGTTTGGATTAGAGTTTCCAGGTCAGAGCTGCTCCTGATATCTGGAATTTGCGAGCTGGGCTGTTGGCAGTTCACCTTGCAATTTTATTTTTTGGAGATGGCTACTTTCTTTAAACTTCATAAACTAACCTTTGCTAGCTTCAAACTTTTCTTCTACAGTTTTGTCACCTCTTAGCCTTCATAGAACTGAATAGAGTTAGGGTCTTGCTCTGGACTAGGCTTTGGCTTAAGGGAATGTTGTATCTGGTTTGATCATCTATCCAGACTACTAAAACTTACTCCATATCTGCAATAAGACAGTTTTGCTTTCTTATCATTTGTATGTTCACTGGAGTAGTGCTTTTAGTTTCCTTTGAGAACTTTTCCTTTGCATTTACAACTTGACTGTTTTGTGCAAGAGTCTTAGCTTTTGGCCTGTCTCAGCTTTGGACATGCCTTCCTCACTAAGTTTAATCATTTCTACCTTTTGATTTAAAGTGAGAGATGTGTGAATCTTCCTTTCACTTCAATGCTTAGAGGCCATTGTAGGGTTATTAACTGGCTTAATTTCAATATTGTTGTGTCTCAGGGAATAGGGAGGCCCAAGGAGAGGGAGAGAGAAGGGGTCACTAGGTGGAGCAGTCGGAACAGATACAACATTCATCGATTAAGTTTGCTGTCTTATATGGGCAAAATTTGTGGCACTCCAAAACAATCACAGTACTAACCAAAGATCACGGATCCCAGATCAACATAACAAATATTATAATAATGAGAAACATTCCAAAACTGTGAGAATTACCAAAATTGTGACACAGAGACACAAGGTGAGCAAATGCTATTTGAAAAATGATGCTGATAGACTTCCTTGATGCAAGATTGCCCCAAACCTTCAATTTGTAAAATAGCACAGTATCTGCAAAGCACAATAAAGCACAGCACAGTAAAATGAGGTATGTCTGTATAAAAATAAATCTTGTCATTTGCCCGACACACATTTACTTAATGGTAAAATATGTATACAGAGGAATTAAGACAAATTCTGGTTCTTGATACTTTAGATTATATAGGAAAACATTCTGGATGTTTGTGAATTTTAGATTGTCAGATTCTATCTATAAAATAGTTTAATAAATTGCAGATGGCTTATTGCTAACTCAAATATATTTCTACCAAGGTTATTTACTTAAAATTCTTAAATCTTAAAAAAAAATATGTTGCAGACTTACAGAAAGTTAGAAAAATAGTAGTACATAGTATAGAGAATTCCCATGTGGGCCGCTCACCCACATTCCACAAACATTGACACTTTGCCAAAGTAGCTTTCTCTCTCTAAATAAATAAAATTTTTTTTCAAAACCTTTTAAGGTAATTGTGGACATGGTGCTCTTCTACCCCTAAACATTTTAGTGTAAATTTACTAAAATTTAGTGTAAATTTTCCTGAAAAAAAAAGGACATTCACTTATATAATCACAGTACAGTTATCAAATTCAGGAAATTAACATTGATACAATACTGGTATTTAATCTTTTGACTTAATTCATGTTTGCCCAATTGTTCCATTAAAAAACGAATCTGGTCCAGGAGTCAATTTAGAATTACATATTGCATTTGATTATCATGTTTCTTTAATCTCCCTTAATCTTAAAATTAGTCTTTGTCTTCTATTGCCTTGACAGTTTTGAAGAGTACAGGTAAGATATTTTGTAGAATGTTCCTCATTTGGGTTTGTCTGATGTTATCTTGTGATTAAATTCAGGTTATACATTTTGGCAAGCATGCCACAGGAGTGGTGTTCTATTCCTCTCAGTGCATCAGAGCTTATTTGCTTTAACAAGCTTAAGTCCTAGTAATGAGAGGAGTGTTTTCTTTGGTGTTATTTATTCTAACTTTTAAATTTACTGTAAAGTTAAAGAAAAAAGGAAATGCTAGCATTAGGAGCTATAATAAGTGTTTTTTAAGCTAAAAGATGCCATAAAATTCTGCTCCTGCCCTGCTGCCTAGTGGGGTGGTCCCCACACCCTCTGAGCCATGGAGGCAGATTAATTTTGTTTCCCTACTATTCTTTTTGAGCTTGCTTTTCTCAGACATGTACAAGAACCCTCAGTGAATGTTTGTCTCTGGCCGGGCAGATAAATGACCTTGTCTTGTGAACTTTAAATGGAAAACAACTCCAGGCCAATACAAACTAATTTTGAAATATGCCCTTCTAATTAAATCTCTACAGTTCCCCAAATTTTATAGAGTGTTTACCAACATTTGAGCTATTTAAAATCACCTATGATTCATCATTTATTATTAGAGAAATGCAAATCTAAACTACAATGAGGTACCACCTCACACTGGTCAGGATGGCCATCATTAAAAAGTCTACAAATAATAAATGCTAGAGAGTGTGGAGGAAAAGGAACCCTCCTACACTGTTGGTGGGAATATAAATTGGTGCAGCCACTATGGAAAACAGTATGGAGGTTCCCCAAAAAACTAAAAACAGAGTTGCCATATGATCCAGCAATCCTACTCTTGGGCATATACCCAGACAAGACTTCAGTTTGAAAAGGTACATGCACCTCTATGTTCATAGCAGCACTATTTACAATAGCCAAGACATGGAAACAACCTAAGTGTCCATTGACAGATGAAAGGATAAGGAAGATGTTATATATATGTATATATATATATATATATATATATATATATATACAATGGAATATTACTCAGCTATTGAAAAGAATGAAATAATGCCATTTGTAGCAATATGAATGCAACTAGAGATTATCATACTAAGTGAAGTAAGTCAGAAAGAGAAAGACAAATACCATATGATATCACTTATATGTGGAATCTAAAATATGATACTATCTATGAAACAGAAACAGACTCACAGACATAGAGAACAGATTTGTGGCTGCCAAGGGGCAGAGGGATTGGGGAGGGAAGGATTGGGAGGTTGGGACTAGCAGATGCAAACTATTATATATAGGATGGATAAAAAACAAGGTCCTATTTTATAGCACAGGGAACTATATTGAATATCCTGTGATAAACCATAATGGAAAAGAATATGTATATGTATAACCAAGACATTTTGCTGTACAGCAGAAATTAACATGGCATTGTAAATCACTATACTTCAATAAAATTTTAAAAATCACTTATGATGCACTTTTCCTTAATGTGTACTTTGGTAGCACTATGGGGAGCCTTAGATTTTAAGAATCATTTCCATTTTATATACAAACAAGTTTTGGCAATTTGTACTTTGGTTAATTTGCTGTGTTTATATTTTCTTCTCTTATATAGCCAATCAAAAACCCCCCAACAGGGAAGAAGTATGTTAGATGCCCTTGTAATTGTCTCCTCATTTGTAAGGACACATCACGGCGAATAGGATGCCCAAGACCCAACTGGTAAGACATGAAGATTCATTCATTAATTCATTTGTTCATTCAGCCGGTACTTATTAAAGATTCATTATGTGGCAGGTTTGTTCTAAACAGTCTTTCTCCTCAAAGAAATTATATGACCTACAACATTTTTTTCTTTGTTAAAGGAATAATACTGCTTAGTTTGAAATTAATGGTTACAGTTATTTGCTTTTTTTTTTTTTTTGCGACACGCGGGCCTCTCACTGTTGTGGCCTCTCCCGTTGCGGAGCACAGGCTCTGGACGCGCAGGCTCAGCGGCCATAGCTCACGGGCCCAGCCGCTCCGCGGCACGTGGGATCTTCCCGGACCGGGGCACGAACCCGTGTCCCCTGCATCGGCAGGCGGACTCTCAACCACTGCGCCACCAGGGAAGCCCTATTTGCTTTTTTTAAAAAAATTTGCTGTTATTTTTATTTCCAGCTTATAGATGACAAATCTGAAGCTCTGAGAGAGAAAATAAATAGTTCAAATCAGTGATTTTCACATTTTTTAAACTTTTGGCTGCTATGCCAAGTGTAAAATACATTTTATTTTACAACCCAAAATTCATATATGTTCATCTACATACATACATACACACACTCATATATTTGAAACAAAAGCTTCACAAAGAAAATTTACTTTCGCTATATGCATTGCACTCAGATTTTTTCGTATTTTAATTACTCTGTTTCTGCCCATTTATCTTTTCTCTTTCGTTTTTTTTTTTAAACATCTTTATTGGAGTATAATTGCTTTACAATGGTGTGTTAGTTTCTGCTTTATAACAAAGTGAATCAGCTATACATATACATATATCCCCATATCTCTTTCCTCTTGCATCTGCCTCCCTCCCACCCTCCCTATCCCACCCCTCTAGGTGGTCACAAAGCACCGAGCTGATCTCCCTGTGCTACACGGCTGCTTCCCACTTGCTATCTATTTTACATCTGGTAGTGTATATATGTCCATGCCACTCTCTCACTTTGTTCCAGCTTACCCTTCACCCTCCAGGTGTCCTCAAGTCCATTCTCTAGTAGATCTGCGTCTATTCCCATCTTGCCCCTAGGTTCTTCATGACCATATATATATATATATATATATATATTTTAGATTCCATATATATGTGTTAACATACAGTATTTGTTTTTCTCTGACTTACTTCACTCTGTATGACAGACTCTAGGTCCAACCACCTCACTACAAATAACTCAATTTTGTTTCTTTTTACGGCTGAGTAATATTCCATTGTATGTATGTGCCACATCTTCTTTACCCATTCATCTGTTGATGGACACTTAGGTTGCTTCCATGTCCTGGCTATTGTAAATAGAGCTGCAATGTATATTGTGGTACATGTCTCTTTTTAAATTATGGTTTACTCAGGATATATGTCCAGTAGGGGGATTGCTGGGTCGTATGGTAGTTCTATTTTTAGTTTTTTAAGGAACCTCCATACTGTTCTCCATAGTGGCTCTATCAATTTACATTCCCACCAACAGTGCAAGAGGGTTCCCTTTTCTCCACACCCACTCCAGCATTTATTCTTTGGAGATTTTTTGATGATGGCCATTCTGACTGGTGTGAGATGATATCTCATTGTAGTTTTCATTTGTGTTTCTCTAATGATTAATGATGTTGAGCATTCTTTCATGTGTTTGTTGGCAATCTGTATGTCTTCCTTGGAGAAATGTCTGCTTAGGTCTTCTGCCCAGTTTTGGATTGGGTTCTTTGTTTTTTTGATATTGAGCTGCATGAGCTGCTCTAAAATTTTGGAGATTAATCCTTTGTCAGTTGCTTCATTTGAAAATATTTTCTCCCATTCTGAGTGCTGTCTTTTGGTCTTGTTTATTGTTTCCTTTGCTGTGCAAAAGCTTTTAAGTTTCATTAGGCCCCATTTGTTTATTTTTGTTTTTATTTCCATTTCTCTAGGAGGTGGATCAAAAAGGATCTTGCTGTGATTTATGTCATAGAGTGTTCTGCCTGTATTTTCCTCTAAGAGTTTGATAGTTTCTGGCCTTACATTTAGGTCTTTAATCCATTTTGAGTTTATTTTTGTGTATGGTGTTAGGGAGTGTTCTAATTTCATTCTTTTACATGTAGCTGTCCAGTATTCCCAGCACCACTTATTGAAGAGGCTGTCTTTTCTCCATTGTATATTCTTGCCTCCTTTATCAAAGATAAGGTGACCATATGTGCATGGGTTTATCTCTGGGCTTTCTATCCTATTCCATTGATCTATATTCTTGTTTTTCTGCCAGTACCATACTGTCTTGATTACTGTAGCTTTGTAGTATAGTCTGAAGTCAGGGAGCCTGATTCCTCCAGCTCCATTTTTTTTCTCAAGATTGCTTTGGCTATTCAGGGTCTTTTGTGTTTCCATACTAATTGTGAAATATTTTCTTCCAGTTCTGTGAAAAATGCCAGTGGTAGTTTGATAGGGATTGCATTGAATCTGTAGATTGCTTTGGGTAGTATAGTCATTTTCACAATGTTGATTATTCCAATCCAAGAACATGATATATCTCTCCATCTATTTGTATCATCTTTAATTTCTTTGATCACTGTCATATAATTTTCTGCATACAGGCCTTTTGTCTCCTTAGGTAGGTTTATTCCTAGATAGTTTTTTCTTTTTGTTGCAGTGGTAAATAGGAGTGTTTTCTTAATTTCACGTTCAGGTTTTTCATCATTAGTGTATAGGAATGCAAGAGATTTCTGTGCATTAATTTTGTATCCTGATACTTTACCAAATTAATTGATTAGCTCTAGTAGTTTTCTGGTAGCATCTTTAGGATTCTCTATTTAGAGTATCATGTCCTCTGCAAACAGTGACAGCTTTATTTCTTCTTTTGGATTCCTTTTATTTCTTTTTCTTCTCTGATTGCTATGGCTAAAACTTCCAAATCTATGTTGAATAATAAAGGTGAGAGTGGGCAACCTTGTCTTGTTCCTGACCTTATGGAAATGGTTTCAGTTTTTCACCATTGAGGACAATGTTGGCTGTGGGTTTGTCATATATGGCCTTTATTATATTGAGGTAAGTTCCCTCTATGCCTACTTTCTGGAGGGTTTTTATCATAAATGGGTGTTGAATTTTGTCAAAAGCTTTCTCTCTATCTATTGAAATGATCATATGGTTTTTATCTTTCAATTTGTTAATATGGTATATCACATTGATTGATTTGCATATATTGAAGAATCCTTGAATTCCTGGCATAAACCCTACTTCATCATGGTGCATGATCCTTTTAATGTATTGCTGGATTCTGTTTGTTAGTATTTTGTTGACAATTTTTGCATCTGTGTTCATCAGTGATATTGGCCTGTAGTTTCCTTTCTTTGTGACATCTTTGGTTTCGCTGTCAGGATGATGGTGGCCTCATAGAATGAGTTTGGGAGTGTTCCTCCCTCTGCTATATTTTGGAAGAGTTTGATAAAGGCAGTTGTTAACTGTTCTCTAAATCTTTGATAGAATTCACCTGTGAAGTCATCTGGTCCTGGGCTTTTGTTTATTGGAAGATTTTTAATCACAGTTTTAATTCAGTGCTTGTGATTGGTCTGTTCATATTTTCTATTTCTTCCTGGTTCAGCCTCAGAAGGTTGTGCATTTCTAAGAATTTGTCCATTTCTTCCAGGTTGTCCATTTTATTGGCATACAGTTGCTTGTAGTAATCTCTCATGATCCTTTGTACTTCTACTGTGTCAGTTGTTACTTCTCCTTTTTGATTTCTAGTTTTGTTGGTTTGAATATTCTCCCTTTTTTTCTTGATGAGTCTGGCTAATGGTTTATCAATTTTGTTTATCTTGTCAAAGAACCAGCTATTAGTTTTATTGATCTTTGCTATCATTTCCTTCATTTCTTTTTCATTTATTTCTGGTCTGATCTTTATGATTTCTTTCCTTCTGCTAACTTTTGGGTGTTTTTGTTCTTCTTTCTCTAATTGTTCCAGGTGTAAGGTTAGGTTGTTTATTTGAGATGTTTCTTGTTTCTTAAGGTAGGATTGCATTGCTATAAACTTCCCTCTTAGATCTGCTTTTAATCCATCCCATAGGTTTTGGCTTGTCATATTTTCTTTGTCATTTCTTTCTAGGTATTTTTGATTTCCTCTTTTTTTCCTTCAGTGATCTCTTGGTTATGAAGTAGTGTATTGTTTAGCCTCCATGTGTTTGTATTTTTTACAGATTTTTTTCCTGTAATTGATATCTAGTCTCATAGCATTGTTTTCAGAAAAGAAACTTGATACGATTTCAATTTTCTTAAATTTACCAAGGCTTGATTTGTGACCCAAGATATGATCTATACTGGAGAATGTTCCATGAGCACATGAGAAGGAAGTGTATTCTGTTGTTTTTGGAGGGAATGTCCTAAAAGTATCAATTAAGTCCATCTTGTTTAATGTGTCCTTTAAAGTTTGTGTTTCCTTATTTATTTTGATTTTGGATGATCTGTCCGATGGTGAAAGTGTGGTGTTAAAAGTCCTCTACTATATTGTGTTACTGTCGATTTCCCCTTCTTTGGCTGTTAGCCTTTGCCTTATGTATTGAAGTGCTCCTGTGTTGGTGCATAAATATTTACAATTGTTATATCTTATTCTTGGATTGATCCATTGATCATTATGTAGTGTTCTTCTTTGTTTCTTGTAATAGTCTTTATTTTAAAGTGTATTTTGTCTGATATGAGAATTGCTACTCCACCTTTGTTGTTTTCTTTTTTGTTTTTTTTTGCGGTACGCGGCCTCTCATTGCTGTGGCCTCTCCTGTTGGGGAGCACAGGCTCCAGATGCGCAGGCTTAGCAGCCATGGCTCACAGGCCCAGCCGCTCCGTGGCATGTGGGATCTTCCCGGACCGGGGCACGAACCTGTGTGCCCTGCATCGGCAGGCAGACTCTCAACCACTGCGCCACCAGGGAAGCCCTCCAGCTTTGTTTTGATTTCCATTTGCATGGAATATCTTTTTCCATCCCCTCGCTTTCAGTCTGTATGTGTCCTTAAGTCTGAATTGGGTATCTTGTAGACAGCATATATATTGGTCTTGTTTTTTTATCTATTCATCCAGTCTATGTCTCTTGGTGGGAACATTTAATACATTTACATTTAAGGTAATTATCGACATGTATTTTCCTATTACCATTTTCTTAACTGTTTTGAGTTTATTATTGTGGGTCTTTTCCTTCTCTTCCTGCCTAGAGCAGTTCCTTTATCATTTGTTGTAAAGCTCGTTTGGTGGTGCTGAATTCTGTTAGCTTTTGCTTGTCTGTAAAGCTTTTAATTTCTCTGTCAGATCTGAGTGAGATCCTTGCTGGGTAGAGTAATCGTAGTTGTACATTTTTCCCTTTCATCACTTTAAATATGTCCTGCCACTCTCTTCTGGCTTGCAGAGTTTCTTCTGAAAGATCAGCTGTTAACCTTATGGGGATTCCCTTGTATGTTATATGTTGTTTTTCCTTTGCTGCTTTTAATCTTTTTTCTTGTATTTAATTTTTGATTGTTTGACTAATATGTGTCCTGGCGTCTTTCTCCTTGGATTTATCGTGTATGGGATTCTCTGTGCTTCATTAACTATTTCCTTTCCCATATTAGGGAAGTTTTCAACTATAATCTCTTCCAATATTTTCTCAGTCCCTTTCTTTTTCTCTTCTTCTTCTGGTACCCCTATAATTCGAATGTTGGTGCATTTAATGTTGTCCCCTATGTCTCTGAAACTGTCCTCAATTCTATTCCTTGTTTTTTCTTTATTCTGCTCTGCATTAGTTATTTCCACTATTTTATCTTCCAGGTCACTTATCCATTCTTCTGCCTCAATTATTCTGCTATTGATCCCTTCTAGAGAATTTTAAATTTCATTTATTGTGTTGTTCATCATTGTTTTTTTAGTCTTTAGTTCTTCTAGGTCCTTGGTAAATGTTTCATGTATTTTCTCCATCCTATTTCCAGGATTTTGGATCATCTTTACTATCATTAATTGGAATTCTTTTTCAGGTAAACTGCCTATTTCCTCTTCATTTGTTAGGTCTGCTGGGATTGTACCTTGTTCCTTCATCTGCTGTGTGTTTCTCTGTCTTCTCATTTTGCTTAACTAACTGTGTTTGGGGTCTCCTGTTTGCAGGCTGCAGGTTCGTAGTTCCTGTTGCTTTTCGTTTTGGCCTACAGTGGGTAAGGTTGGTTCAGTGGGTTGCGTAGGCTTCCTGATGGAGGGGACTGGTGCCTGTGTGCTGGTGGATGATGCTGTATCCTGTCTTTCTGGTGGGCAGGTCCATGTCTGGTGGTGTGTTTTGGGGTGTCTGTGAACTTATTATGATTTTAGGTAGCCTCTCTGCTGATGGGTGGGTTGTGTTCCTGTCTTGCTAGTTGTTTGGCATAGGGTGTCCAGCACTGTAGCTTGCTGGTCGTTGATTGGAGCTGGGTCTTGTCATTGAGATGGAGACCTCTGGGAGATTTTCCTGGTTTGATATTACTTGGAGCTGTGTGGTCTCTGGTGGAACCATGTCCTGAACTTGGCTCTCCCACCTCAGAGGCACAGCCCTGATGCCTGGCCAGAGCACCAAGAGCCTATTATCCACACAGCTGAGAATAAAATGCAGAAAGAAAGAAAGAAAGAAAGAGAGAGAGAGAGAGAGGGAGGGAGGGAGGGAGGGAGGAGAAAGAAAGAAAGAAAGAGGTCAAATAAAATGAAATAAAATAGTTAAAAAACTTAAAATGTAATAAAAAATAAAGAAGGAAGAGAGCAACCCAACCCAAAAACAAATCCACCAATGATAACAAGCGCTAAAAACTATACTAAAAAAAGAAAAGAAAGAAAAATGGTCAGACAGAATCCTAGGACTTATGGTAAAAGCAGAGCTATACAGACAAAATCACACACAGAAGCATACACATACACACTCACAAGAAGTGAAAAACAGAAAAAAATATATATATATCGTTTCTCCCAATGTCCACCTCCTCAATTTGTTGTGATTCATTGTCTATTCAGGTATTCCACAGATGCAGGGTACATCAAGTTTACTGTCGAGATTTAATCTGCTGCTCCTGAGGCTGCTGGGAGAGATTTCCCTTTCTCTTCTTTGTTCGCACAGCTTCTGGTGTTCAGCTTTGGATTTGGCCCCGCTTCTGAGTGTAGGTCACCTGAGGGCATCTATTCTTCACTCAGACAGGACGGGGTTAAAGGAGCCGCTGATTCGGGGGCTCTGGCTCACTCATGCCGAGGGAGGGAGGGGTACAGAATGCGGGGTGAGCCTGTGGCGGCAGAGGCCGGCATGACGTTGCAATAGCCTGAGGCATGCCGTGTGTTCTCCAGGGGAAGTTGTCCCTGAATCACAGGACCCTGGCAGTGGCGGGCTGCACAGACTCATGGCAGGCGAGGTGTGGAGTGACCTGTGCTTGTACACAGGCTTCTTGGTGGCAGTAGCAGCAGCAGCCTTAGCATCTCATGCCCCTCTCTGGGGTCTGCGCTGATAGCCGCAGCTCGTGCCCATCTCTGGAGCTCCTTTAAGCATTGCTCTTAATCCCCTCTCCTCACGCACCACAAAACAAAGAGGCAAGAAAACGTCTCTTGCCTCTTTGGTAGCTCCAGACCTTTTCCCAGAATCCCTCCTGGCTAGCCGTGACACACTAGCCCCCTTCAGGCTGTATTTACGCAGCCAACCCCTGTCATCTCCCTGGGATCTGACTGAAGCTGGAGCCTCAGCTCCCAGCCCCCACGTGCCCCGGCGGGTGAGCAGACAAGCGTCTCAGGCTGGTGAGTGCTGGTCGGCACTGGTCCTCTGTGTGGGAATCTCTCCACTTTGCCCTCCACACCCCTGTTGCTGTGCTCTCCTCTGTGGTTCTGAAGCTTCCCCCCTCCACCACCCGCAGTCTCTGCCCCCAAAGAGTCTTCCTAGTGTGTGGAAACCTTTCCTCCTTTACAGCTCCCTCCCACTGGTGCAGGTCCTGTCCCTATTCTTTTGTCTCTGCTTTTTCTTTTTTCTTTTGCCCTACCCAGGTACGTGGAGAGTTTCTTGCGTTTTCAGAGGTCTGAGGTCTTCTGCCAGCATTCAGTAGGTGTTCTATAGGGGTTGTTCCACATGTAGATGTATTTCTGATGTATTTGTGGGGAGGAAGGTGATCTCTATGTCTTACTCTTCCGCCATCTTGAATCCCCCTCTGGTTACAGTTATTTGTAAACTAACATTCTTGAATAAGCAATGAAATTTTTCTTGATGTTACATAACTACTTAATAGATTTTAATAAATCAGTGACTCATATTTTATTAAAAATAACCAATTAGTTTATCTTTGACATATTTCATCTTAAGTTGGAAGTGTTTTAGTAATCATTGTATACTTTAAATTGTGTTATTACACTAGTCTTTGCTGAGTATAAGCTATGCAATAAATTCTGTAGTCATGTGCATCTGCCAAATGGTGTATGGAAGTGCACAGATAGAAGTATATCAAAACCTTAACTGTGTTTTGTTTCTGTGTTTTCTGTCTTTTTGACCATTATGTGAATCATTTGCAACCCCATCTGATGGTAACCTGGGAAATGGAAAGGAAAGGAGCCTACCATTGTCCTTTCTGTCCAACTCTGTCCAATCAAACAGACATTAAGGAGTACCAGCCTACCCGGAGAAATTTGGTTGTGACTCAGCACTTTCGTACATTCATGGCACACATATATCTGTTAATGTACAATATTTTAAGTTACTTAGTCTTTTACTCAAGTTGTTTTCCTACATAGGGTAAGATAAGATAAGGAATGATAAGATTTGAATTTATAAGAACTTGGAAACAGTAGTTAAATGGTTCCCAAGGTGATTTGATTAGGTCCAATTCCACCTAACTTTTTTGCTTTTGAAATATTGACTATTGCTGTTTTCTGTGATTTTGGCTCTAAAGGCTGACATTTAATTCACTTAATTTATAAAACAAGTATAACCTATTTTCAATGCTATATTCCATGTTTTTGGCCCTATAGTGTAGGTTTCGCTCTCAGTCCATTTTTAGGATAATGAAGTTGTTTGCTCTCTGTTTTCACAGTAGACGCATAATTAACCTTGGCCCAGTAATGCTTATTTCTGAAGAACAGCCAGCTCAACCTGCATTGCCAGTCCAACCAGAAGGTACCAGAGTTGTGTGTGGGCACTGTGGAAATACGTTCTTGGTACGTAACAAGACATTTGTGACAGGGACATCAATCTGTAAATGTAGGTCTTGATCACACAGATTTGACCACTGCTCATAGTCTTATAGTTTGTCCAAGTGCAAATTGATCAAAAGATTAAAATAGAGCCTTTGTTAGAAAGACAGTTAATCAGAGCCACGACTAGGATGTACTGCATTGTTTGTGAATTACATATAAGGTGCATCCCCTGACTGATTCATTTGCAAAAAGGGCCTCTCTGGGTAGGCTAATAACAAACAAGAACCTTGTGCTCCAGGCAGAGCAACTTGGGTATCCTGGCTTAGTGAGCAACTGAATCTACCTCCTACCCTCATCTCCTCAGCAGAGTGCAAAATGCATGCTCTCATGCAGTGGCCTTGTTTCATGGTTCTGGATTCAAGAAATATTCTCATTATAATTTATCAAAATTTTTCTGATTTTTATATATGAAACTTGGAGTAACAGGAATTAATGTGGTATCTGTAATTAGATAAGTTATTGGATAAAAAATAAAGTATAAGTAGTTTGACATAAACAAAAGTTATAGGAGTTCTTGTTTTACTACTTTTAACTTTAACCCTAAGCTTGATTTTTAAATGTTAATTTCATAATGACTTAGCCCATCAGGAAGAATAAGAACAGTTTTTCTTTTGTTATTTAGCCTCCAAAGGAGACAAAAGATTTTCCTTAGAACCTAAGTACTAAAGGAACCTTCCAGAGTGTAGGCATGGGGAGAGCTGAGGTTGCAGTGGTTTATAAACAAGACCTGCTGTCACTAAGGGATGAATGAGCTTAAGAAAGTGTAGACTGTTTGCTCTTTTTCCCTTCTAATTTTTATTTTTGATAAAGTAATTCATGTATAATAACTTCACATGTCAAATAGGACTGTAAAGCTTAAAGGGAAAATGGTGGTCATCTCTTTACCTAACACAACCCCAATTTTAATCCCCCAAATACTTTTGACTCTTTCAGCTGCTTTTCTGGTATGTACTTCCATGTGTTTAAATTGTTTGCTTATTTTTTTCTTTTTGATTAAGCAGTTTTAGATATTACCTATTACTTTGTAAAACACAGGTTGAAGATTTAGCGCTCTTACGACCCTGCCTGCTCTCATAGTCCTTTCTCCACTTTCATACTCCCAGTAGAGTTATAATATTTTATTTGATTAATACTTAGTCTTTACATTTTTTATGATTAGGTAAATTGTGTTCACAGCTGAGCCAAGTAATATATTACATTTCTCTCCTGTATGGCTCTTAAATATTTCTTGGATTTGTTAATAATTGTCCCTCCCTCTTTTAGATTTGTTTTAATTTTTTATGTACAAATCACTAGTTCTTCTCATATTCTTTCATAGAACTACAAAATTCCTGTCACTATAGTCAAATGGGTCAGGGAATCTATTATTTAGACTTCCTGCTACACAGCTGTCATCCTGTGACTTCCCTTCATCTTATCTTAGGAATTCCTATTACCTCTTTCCTGTGTTGGATCCTCTGCCATCCTTACAGTTCTTGGTTTATTGCTTTATTTTGTTGGAGCACACCCTCTCTTAGCTTTCTGAGAAAAGATGCAGAGAAATAAATTTGAACCTTTTACTTCTTAAACAGTTTTTAATCTAACCCTATTTTCACATTAAAATTTGTCCAGATGTAGAATTATAGGTTGCCAATTCTTTCCTCAGAAATTTGAGGGCTTTGCTCCACTGTTGATGGGAAGATCAACTGCTGTTGTGGCTCCTGACCCTTACCATGTGACCTATTTTTCTCTCTTTATTTTCTCTTATTTTCCTCTTTCATTTCTCCAAGGTTCTGAAATAGTATTAGAATGTGCCTTAGGGAGAATCTTTTTGACCTCATTGTCTGGCTACTCAGTGAATCCTTTTATAGTCTACTCCATTTTCTTTGTTCCATCTTTCTACCACCCCTGAGATTAGATCACCTGAATTGACATACACACTCTCTCTCTTTCTCTCTCATTTTTTTTTAACATATTTTTCAGTTTTGGCTTTTTCTTTTACTTACAGGGAAATTTCCTCAACTATATCTTCTAAACTTAATTAAAATTTTAAATTTCAGATGATCTAAATTAATTTTTAATTTCTAAGAGTTCTCCTGTGTTCTCTGATTAATTTTTCTTTTTTCTAAATCACATTCTCTTCTTTATGGCATCTTTCTGAAGCTATTAGTTATGTTTTCTGAGGTATTATTCTTCTTTATGCCTTGTCTCTATTTTCTCTCCATTGTTTCTATTTGTTTTTATTTTCTGATAGAGGTTTTAATGAGAAGCTCATTTATATATGAGAGCAAGTTACTGATTGGAATCTCTAAGTATGCAGCAGGGGCTAAACTTTTTCTCCTTCCTTCCTTCCTTTCTTCCCTCCCTCCCTCCCTTTTCCTTTCTTCTTCTCTCTCCTCCTCCTCCTCATCTTTCTTCTTCCTCTTCTCCTTTTTCTCTTTTCTTGAAGAACTGCCAACTATTAGTATCAATGTCTTTTTTTTTTTTTTTTTTTTGGGGCAAGTTTCTCTGGGGAATAATCCTCTGACTTCTTGTAAGAGGTATATCTGGGAGACAGCATTCTAGGAGCTAAGAAAGGACAATAGGGATGAAGGTCTCATCTACTGTTCAGACTGTAGACTTATTTAACTCCTTTGTTTTTAGAATGGTGTCTTATTCTTGCCTCTGCTGTGCCTGGTGTTCCTAAGTTCACAGTCCTTCTAGTTCATTTTCTTTGAGAGAATAAATCACTCTTCTCTTGCATGTGTTGGGGAGGGAGGGATTTTTGGTTTTGTGATATGGAGGGAAGAGTCTAGAACTGATACTCTTGTTTTTATTACTACCCCTAACTCCTATCTTTGAAAGCACCTTGGAGTCCCAAGGTCTGAACTATTTTGTAGTTCATCAGTTGAATCAGCCTTCTTTTTGTTGGATATCTCTCTTTAGGCAATCAGGTTTCAGCATCCCTTTCAGTTTGTTACCAAGTCTCCATCAGCTTTCCACTGTCTGAAAATTCAAGGTCATTTCTCTTCAGATTCTATTTGTCCTTATGGTATTATACATTTGTAAATACAATTTACTGTCATTTTAGTCAGGTTTGGGAAAGGAAATAGAAATGCATGCATTTGTCCAACTTATTACATTTAACCAGAATTTCTATGATTTTTCTGATCTACTAGGTTAAGATAAATCTTCTTCTTTGCATTTATATTTTATTGATCAAGCCAGTGACCAAGTACATCACTTAGGGGATATATTTGGTGGGGATAGTGAAAAGATTTCTTTTTTAAAAATTTCTTTTTAAAAAAATCACTATTGAGAATTAGGTTTGGATTTGGGTCCTGGCCATACTAAAACCTGACTATGTGATGCTAGGCAAGTTATGTTAACTTTGCCAAATTCTGATTTCCTCATCTGAAAATGGGGAGAATAATAGCATATTCACAAGATTGCTGAGAGCAGTAGTAAAGACATTTGTCCAAAGTTTGTGACAGTGGAAGCTGGCCTTGTGGCTGACAGGGTCTTGGTGCACTGGCTGGGTGTCAGGCTTGTGTCTCTAAGGTGGGAGAGCCAAGTTCAGGACATGGGTCCAACAGAGACCTTCCAGTTCCATGTAATATCAAATGGCGAGAACTCTCCCAGAGATCTCCATCTCAACGCTAAGACCCAGCTGCACTCAACAACCAGCAAGCTACAGTACTGGACATCCTATGCCAAACAACTAGCAAGACAGGAACACAACCCCACCCATTAGCAGAGAGGCTGCCTAAAATCATAATAAGGTCACAGACACCCCAAAACACACCACTGGATGCAGTCCTGCCACCAGAAAGACAAGATCCAGCCTCATCCACCAGAACACAGACACCAGTCCCCTCCACCAGGAAGCCTACACAACCCACTGAACCAACCTTAGCCACTGGAGGCCAACACCAAAAGCAACGGAAACTACGAACCTGCAGCCTGCTAAAAGGAGACCCCACACACAGTAAGTTAAGCAAAATGAGAAGACAGAGAAGCATACAGCAGATGAAGGAGCAAGGTAAAAACCCACCAGACCGAACAAATGAAGAGGAAATACATAGTCTACCTGAAAAAGAATTCAGAGTAAGGATAGGAAAGATGATCCAAAATCTTCGAAATAGAATGGAGAAGATACAAGAAACTGAGGCAGAAGAACGGATAAGTGACCTGGAAGATAAAATAGTGGTAATAACTACTGCAGAACAGAATAAAGAAAAAAAGAATGAAAAGAATTGAGGACAGTCTCAGAGACCTCTGGGACAACATTAATTGCACCAACATTCGAATTATAGGGGTCCCAGAAGAAAAAGAGAAAAAGGAAGGGACTGAGAAAATATTTGAAGAGACTGTAGTTGAAAACTTCCCTAATATGGGAAATGAAATAGTCAATCAAGTCCAGGGAGTGCAGAGAGTGCCATACAGGATAAATACAAGGAGAAACATGCCAAGACAAATATTAATCAAGCTATCAAAAATTAAATACAAAGAAAAAATATTAAAAGCAGCAAGGGAAAAACAACAAATGACATGCAAGGGAATCCCATAAGGTTAACAGCTGATCTTTCAGCAGAAACTGTGCAAGCCACAAGGTTCTGGCAGGACATATTTAAAGTGATGAAAGGAGAATAAAATACCTAGGAATAAACCTACCTAAGGAGACAAAAGACCTGTATGCAGAAAACTATAATACACTGATGCAAGAAATTAAAGATGATACAAACAGATGGAGAGATATGCCATATTCTTGGATTGGAAGAATCAACATTGTGAAAATGACTCTACCACCCAAAGCAATACACAGATTCAATGCAATCACTATCAAACTACTACTGGCATTTTTCACAGAACTAGAACAAAAAATTTTACAATTTGTATGGAAACACGAAAGACCCTGAATAGCCAAAGCAAACTTGAGAAAAAAATGGGGCTGGAGGAATCAGTCTCCTGGACTTCAGACTATACTGAAGCTACAGTAATCA